GTCGTAAACAACAACGGCGAATACATAACTGATTGATTTGTTGTTGTAATTATTATTTTTTTTGTTCAAATACAAGCGCTTGAAAAACGCTACGAACTTATTCCTCAACCTAATACTTTGTGCTCGGGTCAGCTCCACCTCCCTTGCTTTTAAGGAGTTCCCAGCTCAATATATTGTTCGTCCTACTCATATCTGCTCTATCGTGTTAATCCTTTTTTTTCACGTTTTGTCTATCCTTAAACTTGTTTCACATTGAAGGAGAACTACGATAACGATCTACTCTCATAATTCCCGAACGCTGCATAAGCAAATTCTGAAGATATTTTGTTGCAAGTCAGAAAACGATGATGTGATCGGAAGCACTGCTCGTTGTATTATACTCTAAAAACTTCAAAAATGTCTGATTTATGTGACAACAGAGGCACTGAAAGAGCCAGAGACCTCGCCAGTAAAGTCTTAGCATCAAGATTCAAACGCAGCTCAGCTAAAAGAAGTTAAAGTTGCGCGACATTTTCGCTGCGTCCTTAAGATTAGAGGGCAGACACGAGGCTGAGACTTACAGAGGGTTGGAGAATTCGACAGTACCTCACGATTATTCTAAAAACTTAATCCGCCACAAAGCGTAGCGGTACCAAAACTTTTTTAAAGGATTTTCAATGAATAAGAGAAGCACTCGCTTAGTATTGAGAAAATCTCCTGATATGTTACGTTCATGTTCCCATAAAAAGGCGTATGTATATGGTAGTTTGTAACTTTCGCGAGTCCCTCTGATTCTTTATTCAAAGTAATTAATGTTACGCTGAATACAAACAAATTCCCATTTGCAAAGTTGGGCCACTTTACAGATACATGGTAGTCAGTATGCGATCGGCAGATCCATTCAGAGTTTGCACAAGAGTGCTTGATGTGCTTATCCAAAATATCTCTTCGTCACAATGACACATTGTTTGGGGACACAGTATTTATACGGTATTTGCGCATTCCGAAACCTTTCCTGACAGGATTACGAGTTATGTGGATCGCAGAATTATATCGATCTCTCGCGGGGGCATCGTACTCCAAATACGGCAGGCATACAGTGTTGTGTCAGTATCTCAGGGGGATTATGAAAAGTTATGAAACACTTTGACGAAATTGTGTAGGACCAACACAATTTCAGTTTCTCAATAATCGAGCATTTGCGCAACTCAAACATACTCACTAAAGGGTAAATTGATACGGTGAGTTTAGCCAACATATTCATTCTCTGCCACCTTGTCATTCTGTAGAGTTAGAGTACGGCAATATAATTACTACAAAATACGACCTCTCCATATTACTTGAAAATACTTCCGTTATGTTTTTTATGCGCTATGTAAGAACATCATATCAATTGTTGCGTGATAACGAAAAAGCTTAGTATTTAAAAAATTAGGCACACCTTGGCCCATAGCTAAGTTTGCAATAGAAAATCAAAGCGCAGCTTTGTGTAGCTCTCATACTACAACAGTATTGGGGCTGCATCGAGTAAAATCAGAGTAGGAATTGTCAGAAATTACGTGTTAGATGGTGACTCTTGCTTAGAGTTGAGATGATTTTTTCCTGTTATAACTTATAGCATTCAATAAGATTGTCTAATTGAGCGTTTTACCACACCTTGATTAGCACAAGTACAGTACAAGTTCTGTACAAGATATTGGAACTCGAATGGAAAAAAAAGGAGAATTTGTGTTTTCTGTACCCACCGTGGGTGGACGATGTCCTCACAAACCCTAATGTTGCTAATATATATGACTTGAAGAAATTTATAAGGACAGAAAAAGAAAGAAAGATCTAGGATTTAGGATGGGATCTGTCGTATAATGCCAAGA